CTAACCGCTGCAGACCTGCGTCATACGAAGAGCTGCATCATGAGGCCAATTCAAAGTCATCTGGCAGTCCTCAAAACTGGTTTGCCAAGAACACTGGCTGCAGAACCGCAGAACATGTTTTGAGACATGCGCCACCTCTGTGTGAATCATGCCCTGTAGTGATAGAACTGAGTTAAGGTCATTTATCCAAGAGAAGTTAAAGTCCAGTGGCTGCTTTAAAATAAGAGGATTAATATTTTGTGGCTGCTAGCTCCAGCTTTAACCGTATCATAGGTTACTCTGGTCGCTGACTCTTTGCACTGATGCTGTTTTAATAAGAATTAACAGAGTCTCCCAGCGTTGGTGTCAGTGGCATTCTCCCAGCCTCTTTGCATTTTAAGTGAGATTAATAAATGAAAACATGTTGTAGAGACAGGATGTAATTTATTGAAAGATTCGTGAAGTTTCAATGACATTGTTAGGGTATTTAATTAGGCTCTAGGAAAAAAGTATAGAGTGACCCTTCTAGGAAAGCTGATAAGTCATAATAGCTGTTAGATCCTCTTTATTCCTTCCTTTATAAGATTAACTTTGCGCTAAGCAATTTATGCTAAGTTTTTCTCTTCTGTTGGTAGCCAAAGTTATCAGTGGTTCATGAATGGATTATAGTAGATAACATCATGTAATTAACAAGAGATGCCGAAAAGTAAAAGTACAATTTGTGTAAGAATTGTATGAGAGAGTGTTAATTTCTTAACTAGGGAGGATATTTGAGAGGATAAAAAGGAAAGCAAAATAAGTGTAATTCTTTGACAGGATTAAGGTAACCTTATCTCATGTTCTTTCAGAAACTAGTATTGCCTGTGTATGTGGAAGTCATGTTCAATGAGCCACTCATTTCCAGAACAAACCATCGACACAGGTTGCCAATGCACTTTTGTTAAAGTAATTGCTGTTATGCCCAGGTAATGCCTTCTGTACGTTGTACAACTGAAGGGGGCATAAGAGAAAGAGTTGCCTAACAGTGCTTGGGCATCGGTTAAATATAATTTAGGACCCCCTAATTCACGAGAAGGGGCCGCGGTGGCTTAGAGGTTAAGACACTGAGCTGCGGACCGGAAGGTCTGTAGTTCAACAGTTCGAGACCCAAGTGCTGTATAAGTGGTAGTAGAGGGAAGTGCTGTCAAGTCACAGCGGACTTTTGCAGGTTTCCCAAGGTAAGAGATGATCAGAGGAGGCTTGCCGGTGCCTGCCTCTGCATAGCAACCCTGGGATTCCTTGGTGGTCTCTCATTCAAGTGTTAACCAGGGCCAACCCTCCTTTGCCTCCGAGGTCTGATGAGATCAGGCTCAGCTGGACCATGCAGGTCAGGGCGCTGTATAAATATCGAGCATTAAATATGTAACGATGTGGAATTCCGTGAAATAAGTACATCTGTTTAAATATCCTGTGATGATTAGGTGGATTTTCTGAGGGCTGTGAGAACAGGAAGCTTGCTTTTGGAATATTCCACTTCCAGTTTTGCACGATGGTGTTCCTTGGGCTGGTGTTCTAATCTGGGAGAACCGGGTTTGATTCCTCACTCCTCCACTTGCAGCTGCTGGTGTGACCTTGGGTCAGTCATAAGTTCTTTCAGAGCTATTCTCTCAAGGGCAGTTCTGGAGAGAGCTCTTTCAGCCCCACCTACATCATAGGGTGTCTCTTATGGGGAGGGGAAGGGAAAGGAGATTGTAAGCCACTGTGAGACTCCTTCCGGTAGTGTAGGGCGGGGTATAAATCCAGTCTCCTCCTCTTCTCCTGGCTGACAGGGAATGGTATGAGAATGACTTTATCTGTGTTTTCTGCAGTGAGCACTGGGTTGTGTTGGGATAAAAAAAGAGGTATGAGCTCTCACTGGTAGTAAGGTAAAGGTTTCCCTTGCTCGAAAGCCAGTCGAATCCAACTCTAGGGGGGCGGTGCTCATCTCCATTTCCAAGCCAAAGAGCCAGCGCTGTCCGAAGACGTTTCCGTGGTCATGTGGCCAGCATGACTAAACACCAAGGCGCACGGAATGCTGCTACCTTCCCACCGAAGTGGTGCCTATTTATCTACTTGCAATTTCTTGCTTTCGAACTGCTAAGCTGGCAGTTTCAATTTCCCGTCTGCTCTGGAGTAGAGAAGCCTTTCTGCTCTACTTGGACAAGAAGGCCTGGCTTGTTTGGAAGAGTTTGTGAGGTAGCCCAGAGGTAGCCCTGCTGCACATTGACTGTGTGTGGTGATTGTTTGTATAAAGTGGGGAAGGATCTTAATGATGTGTGTTACCCTACAGAGCTGCAAGCCTCTCCAGTTTACTTGGTGGTGGAATGGAATAAGGCCGTGGAGGCCCCAAAGGTCTGGAATGAGAAGTGCGGCAGGAAAAATACAGTGCTGTGATGTAAGCAATATAAGTTAGTCAGTTTTGTCTGCTCATTAAAAGCCTTACTTGGAGAGATTTTATACCTTGCTACTCTGTCAGGCTAGTCAAGTGAAACCACAAAGAAAGGGAAGCATTTGTGCTTTTTAAGACTTTATTTGTGTCCGCTACAGAATAACTTTATTTGTGCATCGGTGCCTTTGAAATAGAGCAGAGTTCCAAAGCAAGTATTGTGGCCTGGGTATGGCAATACGTTACTAGAACATAATGTTTTAGCCATTGTATGCCTGTTGATGATGACAAAAATTACCCTGCATCGAGTTTTAGGAGAAGTTTGTCATATCAAGTATTTTTACTAACCCAGTGGCACTTGGATCCATTGCAGCTTACACTACTATACTGCACGTGTCTTTTCATTTTTCCCTTAATGGGTCTGCAGTTCACGTCTACTGCAAAATTCCTCCTCGTATAGGGCAAACTTGTGGTTTTCAAAACAAGAAATGAAAACTATATCTTTAATCATTTGCATAAAGGAATGGGGTAGTATGGAACCCTTCCAAGGGAGCCCGGTCACACACAAGCACTGTGTGAGGCTGCAATGTACAGTATCAGCTCGGAGTATAGCAGGTGTATTGTAGAGTAAGGAGCCGCAAGGTTATCGGTTGTGGTATGTCTTTCCACAGGTGAAGTTTCTGTTTGGTAGCTCAGTCAGTGTTCTGTAAGGTAAAGGTAAAGGTAAAGGTTCCCTTGCTCGAAAGCCAGTCGAATCCGACTCTAGGGTTGCGCTGCTCATCTCCGTTTCAAAGCTGAAGAGCCAGCGCTGTCCGAAGACATTTCCGTGGTCATGTGGCCAGCATGACTAAACACCAACGGCGCACGAAACGCTGTTACCTTCCCACCGAAGTGGTACCTATTTATCTACTTGCAATTTCTTGCTTTCGAACTGCTAGGTTGGCAGGAGCTGGAACTAGAGACGGGAGCTCACTCCATCATGCGGCAACTCGGGTCTCGAACTGCTGAAGTACTGACCTTCCACAGCCTGCAGTTCAGCGTCTTAACCACTTGAGCCACCGCAGCTCCTTTACATTTACACAATGGCATAAAAATAATCCAGCTGTGCCGAGTCGACTGTGTTGTGGATCATTTGTGTGTGGGATTTTGTGGAGAGTCTGGCCTTGACTTGCATTGCTCCAGGACAGCTAAGCTTAGGATGAGATGCATGGGTCCTGTTCCTATGGCAGAGAAGCAGCCACACTCATTGCTACGCGTGTGATGGGAAATACCATTGTATGACGTAGAAGGGTTTCTTTGTTGTAAGGAGAATTGTGCAGTAGGGGAATGAGGAGTGTTCAAGGACCATAGTTACAGTATTTGGAAATTGGAAGGGACTTGTAGGTCATCTAGTCTGTCTCCCAACTCATGCTCCCTACAGGAATACACTATGTAGCATAATTTGACAGACGGCCCTCCAGCCTCTGGCTAAAGATCTCCAGGACAAGAGGGTACCACCTCCTGAGGCAGTCTGTTCTGCTCCTGAATGCTCCTTAGCATTAGGAAGTTCCTCCTAACGTTAAGCTGAAATCTGCTTCCTTGTAATTTCCGTACAATGGTTGTAGTCCTGCCCTCTGGAGCAAGAGAGAGCAAGTTTGCTTTGTTTTCTGTGTGACAGCCCTTTGGATACTTGCATGCCAACCACACGTTTAGGTGTGGATAGATTTTAGGCAGCATTCGTTTTTAAATATTCACCCAAGCAGGGCTGAGGAGGTTCTGAGCACTGTTCTGTGTGGGATGGGGTATAATGACAGAACACCGTCATGTCTAACGAATTTAGCTGGTCAGTGTCCAAACATCTGTAATAAATGGGCCTTTTCTTCAAAGTCTGCAAATGACCCAGCATACTCCTTTACAGAACTCAGGGTGGGGTGGCGGGGGAAGGTGAGTTTCAATTACAGAGCTTCTATTTAAATGGCCTCTTCCAATTCCGGTTACGAAATAGTTGAATCTTGTATCAGTCTTTGAGGAATTTATTTAAAACCAAAGGTGGCAAATCTATGTTAATTTTTCATATCCCTTTGGTAATGAATAGTTGAGATGCTTAAGTATTTAGGGTTATGTGATTATGTGTCAAACACTGGATCCCTGTTATTCTCGAAATATGATTTCTTTACTTCAGAAAGGGGGTGGGGGGAAATCAATTTATGACATCCTGAAAATTAAAGTGGCTTCATTTTGGTTGCTTAGGTTGTACTAAATAGATAGCGAAGAATAGCACGGTTTAAAGAGATAAATGTCAGGAGCATTTTCTAAAGTAGACATTCAGACTTTTTGGATTAATGGGATATAGAAGGTCAATAATTGCATGGATTTCAGTAAGCTGGAGAAGAGGTGGCCTTCCTGCGGTGCTGCTGTGATTATTAAAACATTTTGAATTCATCGTAAAGAATACAGTGCTTAGGTTCAGTGTCGCTGCCAGAGTGGCAGATAGGACTCAGTAGGGTTCCCAGTTTGTACAGATTACAGGGAATAATTGGATTGTTTTAAAGGAGAAGAGATTTCTGAATGGGCCGTAAAAGAACTGCTCCAAAACCGGCTTAACCCTTGTGCTTTCTCCCCCTCTTTTTGCATTCAGGGACCTCCTGATTTCCAGCAGAACCCTCCTGGACCAGTTCCTACCAACTTCAGTCAAGCCCCCAGACTCCCCCTCCAGGACCAGTGGCGAGGGCCGCCACCGCCACCCCCACCGCTGCCACCCCCGCCCCCACAGGACAGAGAGCCTTTCTTCATGGGAGGTGAGGGCCCTTGTGTGTATCAGAAGCATCACTCTGAGTTGGCTGAGCAGTCGGTTGGCTTTCGTCTGAACTGCTGAGCCAGATTTTGTTACATTGGTCATCTCTAGTCTGCTGTAAAAGCTACTGAATTGGGAGCTCAGAATTTAGCCGCTAGAACCCAGTCTCCAAGCCGTCTCGCTTGTCCAGGCTTTAGGGGAAAGTATTAAATGACTCTGTCTTCTCTGTTACAACACAACGTGACTGGAGCAGGCGGCAGGGTGCCAACTTCAAGGTGGCTTGTGTCAGAGCAGTGGAGGCTCCGGAGGCATCAGTTCTGGTTTGCCGTTTATATTGCCCATTATCGTTGCTTCCGATGGAGAAATAATGGACCCTGTGACTGACACGGTTTCCCTGAAATGGTTTCCGGGTGGGACCCTGGCTTAGTGATAGTGCGTCTGCTTTGCCAGCATTCCGGTCCCTGGCATGCTCAGTTGAAAGGGTTTTGGTAGGAGGTGATGTGAAGGACCTTGGCCTGGCACCTGGTACGCATCTTGTGATCAGAGTACACAACAGTGACCTTGGTAGACCAGTGGTCTGACTTGATACCATGTGCCCCTTTTTCTCCCCCTTTGGAATTGCTTGCCAGTATACCTCCTGCAGGCATTTTGGTTGCAGATTTATTGTTCATAATTGCATTTCTATAGCACTTTCAGATGTCCAAGGGCTTCACATAGACCACCTTTTTGTAATTGTTATAATAAGCCTCTAAGGTTGCTCAGTAGTATTCAGATACTGCTGACTGGGGCGGCGGGGGGCTGAGGCTATGGATGTCGCTTGCCTAAAGCCGCCATGGCAGATGCAGAATTTGGACTAAGGCTGACTAATTTGTAACTCAGTTTCTTAGCAAAATCCCCTCTCTGAGACACTGAGCTTCATGACTGTTTTTCTTTCCCAGCATAATCTACTTCACTGGATTGCTGGGGAAAAAATACAGTAGAGGAGGGGGAGGAAAAATTCATTGCCCTGAGCTCCTTAAGGGAAGATGAGGATGGAAATGTACTAACAATAATAGTTTGCATTGTGTGGGTTTAGTTGGAGATTAGGTATGGTGTTTGGGGGATGGCTTTACTTCGCAGGAGCAGGTTGGACTTCAGAGCCACGATTGTCTCTAATTCCGATTGTCCCCCTGCTTCTGCTAAACCTGAAGTTGCAATGACACCCAGGTTTCACGGGGTGGTAGGAGTTAAGTCGTTTTTTTCAGGGGTATCTATGATTTAGTGTGACTCTTGGCACAGTAGGGAGCAGGATGGAGATCTGATTCATAGGCAGAGTGGTAACGTGTCTATTTTATTTTGGGTGGGGGGTAGATCCAAGGTTTCCCAGCCACCACTTATTTGAGCAACGGAGTCCTCCTCCGCCACCGCCTCTTCTGAACAGCAGCCATCCTGTTCCCGGCCAGAACCCGCTCCCTTTCAGTCAGCCCGGACCAGGCTTCAGTCAACAAGGGCAGCAGCCCGTCTTCCCCAGGGAGAGGCTGGTCCGGCCAAACATTCAGCCGCAAGGCCCCGTGGGAGTTCTCCACTTCAACCAGCCGGGAGCCGGAAATGCGCGGCCGTTCCTTCCCCCCCGGCAGCCGTACCTGCAGGCCCCCGGGCAGCCCTTCATGACAACTCACACGCAGCCCAACATTCAGGTATGGAGCCGTCACCAAATGCTCGGCGTAAGCATTCAGGGATCTGTCAAGAACCTCTTGAGCTTTCATCCTGAGGCACCCTCTGCCTGCCCTTTTGTGAGCATCTCATTTTGACGACTAGGGAGACTATCACCCTTCTTTCATCCTGTATGGAGCCGTCACCAAATGCTCGGCGTGACCATTCCGTGATCTGTCAAGAGCCTCTTGAGCTTTCCTCCTGAGGCACCCCCTGCCTGCCCTTTTGTGAGCATCTCGTTTTGACGACTAGGGAGACTGTCACCCTTCTTTCATCCTGCAGTCATTGTGAAGAGTGGGGATGGTGATTAGTTTTGGAAATGGATTCCCTTGGTTTGGGGGGACCATTTTTAGCTTCCCAGAATTCTCTTAGAGACCTCAAATCACGTCTCTCACCACTGCAAATTAAAGCTCCCCCCACCCCGCGGCCCCGTTCTTTCTGAAGTTTGTGAAGTTGATGAAGTGTGACGAAGACTGCAAATTACAAAGCCTCCAAAACATATGTTGCTTAAGCAGAATACTGTTAGAAACCTTTGAAAACACCACCTGCACATGCCGTGTTTGGTCTGATGTTACGAGGACTTTAAGCGTGCCTTCTTGCGGCTGTGCCGAGCATAAAAACATGCCCCCCCCCATTTTAATCGGACTACAAGAGCGTTAGTGGCAGCTTCCTAGTTGCGTGGTGGTTCAGAGTGAGGATGTTGAACCGCTTTGAATTTTTGCAAAACTGTTCTCCGTTAATGAGATTAGAAAAGTTTGTAATGTGACATTTTGTTCAGTATTCCATGGTTTCCTAAACTGATTGATTTCAGCAGAGCTATGAAAATAACCTATTGTTTAAAAACACGTCCCTCATACAGCAAGTAGATTCAGCACCGTCTAGTGTAATTATATTGGGTCACAGCAAAGGTTAGAGCCCCCTCTGCTGGTTCAATTAAGTATTTCCTGTGAGGGTGCCTGTGAATGCAGTCGTGCGCCCTATGTATTTTTTTAGATTTTCCCGCTGTCTAATGAAAATTAAAATACCTATACTGTACTTTAGCAATAAGTATCTTACTCAGACTCCAGTTAGTTTTCCTCGTTTTCAAAGAAGTGAACATATTGTAATATAGTTAGATTCAAGTCCAGTAAGGTAGAAGGTAAAGGTTCCCTTGCTCGAAAGCCAGTCGAGTCCGACTCTAGGGTTGTGGTTGTCATCTCAATTTCAAAGCCAAGAGCCAGCGCTGTCCGAAGACATTTCTGTGGTCATGTGGCCGGCATGACTAAACACTAAGGCGCACGGAACGCTGTTACCTTCCCACTGAAGTGGTACCTATTTATCTACTTGCAATTTCTTGCTTTTGAACTGCTAGGTTGGCAGGAGCTGGAACTAGAGACGGGAGTTCACTCTGTCATGCGGCACACTCAGGTCTCGAACTGCTGACCTACCACAACCTGCAGTTCAGCGTCTTAACCACTTGAGCCACCGCAGCTCCTTCAAGTCCAGTAGCACTTTAGAGAAGAAGAGTTAGTTTCATACCCTGCCTTTCACTACCCAAAGGAGTCTTGGAGTGGCTTACAGTCACCTTCCTTTCCTCTCCCCACACCGTGTGAGGTAGGTGAGGCTGAGAGAGCTCTGAGAGAGTTGTGACTGACCCATGATTACCCAACAGGCTTTATGTGAAGGAGTGGGGAATCAAACTCAGTTCTCTAGATTAGAGTCCACCACTTTTACCCACCACACCAAACTGGCTCTCGACCAACAAGATTTTCAGGGTAGAAGCTTTCAAGAGTCAAAAGCTCCTTTTGTTAGACAAGAGTAGGAATGTAATGTAATAATAGTGATGTAATAATGTAATATAGCATCCTTGATCAAAGTTCATTTGAGAATGGCAGGGAGGATTTTAAAATAATTTCTATGGGTCTCTCTTTTTGCTAATCGTGGTGACCATGGTATACAAAGACCAGCTTGCTAATTGTGATGATTGGTACACAAAGAGTGACTTGCCGAAGCTTTTCCTGATTTTTATTTTAAAACACATCTTTCTCCCCTCTTCCTTAAAACATTCAGGGACCCTTGCACCCTCCTCTGCAACCGCAGCATCAGCATCAGCAACACCCACAGCCACAGCAGCATCCGCAGCATCCGCAGCCGCACCACCAGCAGCATCAGCACCAGCAGCAGCACCACCTCCTGGCTGTGCCTCCCCAGCCTCTGATTCCTGTGGCCCCGTCCCAGTTCAGGCCTCACATGCAGACTTCACAGCAGCAGCCAAGCAACAGTCGGATGCAGTGTCAGCAGAGGCAGGGGCTGATAAAGCCCAGACATGTGAGTTGTTTTAAACACAGCAACAAAAAAAATGGTTTATCAGGAGGAGGGAAATTAGCCCCAAAGGGCACCTTTAAAATGGATAATATGAGTGAGAACCCTCTCATGTTACAGTGTGTGTGTGTGGGGGGGGTATGTGTATATATACACACATATAGAGATGTAAAATTTCCGGAAATTTTGAAGCTCGGGAAAAAAACCGTTTTTTTCCGGAAGAAAACGGAAATTTTCGGAAAAATTGAAAAAAAATGCTACATTAGCATTTCTTTTGTCTTTTCTAGATTGAAAGTCATTCTGTTACTTTAGGAAACTCAGCTTAGAGGGAACATTGGTGTGGGGGTGTATGTGTATATACACACACACACCCTCACCATGCATTCTGTTTCTTGTATTTAGAAGGCTTCAGGGAGTGCTTGCCTATCTCCTGCCCTGCTCACTTGAGTATCCTCATCCATCCCACACTATTAGCAGTCCTGGACTGCATTTCACTCTCATTCCTCCAGAGAACAAGGAGGAAGAGAGCATTAGTTCTCTGCTCCTCTACACCGTGCCTTTCTAAGAGAGCTCTTCCTTGCCCCCATGGCTCTGTCCCTCTGTTAAAACAGGACTGCAGAATTCTGCACTGATTTGTCGCGGAATCAGTATGGGGGGGGGTTGCTTTGTTCCAGATGCTTTATCCTGCGCAGAGGAAGTGCTCGTTCCTGGAGCCGCAGGCGAGGCTTTTGAAACCAGAGCCCCACGAGCACCCTTTTGGGGTTTTCAGGGGAGAGCGGATTCTGCCAGCCTAGTGTGGAGCAAGCAGAAGCCCTGCCCGTGGTGGCAGCGGCCTAGGAGCCCAGCTGCAGGGGGAAGGGCATTCTTATTAGCCTTGCACAGTGCTCAGGTTTGCTGCTGCTCGCACCAAAGCGTCCCCAGTTCAGAAAGAAGGGAGAGTTGTTTGCAGAGTTTTCCCCTTCCCCGCTGCTGTCCATGACGCAAACAGAGAAAAGCCTTTGTGGGCTGGCTCTGCAGCTGAGCTTCTGTTTCCCATTTGAAAGACGAGAGCCGAGTTCTTTAAAAGAAAAAGAAATCATGTATCTACAGGCTTACCTACATACATATATATACACGTATACAATAAAAATATAGCGTTAAAATTTTTAAAACTAAGAATCGGCATTTTCCCTCTGTATGCTTTCACATTTTACCCAGGCTCTTATATCTGTGTCTATATTTCTTGGATGATAATAACATAAGGTGTCCTATTCATTTAATCTTCCCAGAGTTTTACGTGTACGGGAGATTATTAACAAGTCCCTCCTTGAGGGGCGGTTCCCTGGGGCACTCAAGGAAGCGATGGTCCGCCCTCTCTTAAAAAAGCCATCTCTGGACCCGGCCGAATTGGCCAACTATCGGCCGGTGTCCAACTTGCCCTATTTGGGCAAGGTGATAGAGAGAGCGGTGGCGGCACAGCTACAGACATTTCTGGATGACGCTTCTGTCCTTGATCCCCACCAGTCCGGGTTTCGCCCGGGTCATGGGTATCTTTTCCAGAGTAATTAGGAGTACTAAATAACTAATTCACAGATATAGGTAAGGTTTTCATGAACTCAGGAAAATTTCACCGTGCTGTTCTAAATAATCTGAAATAGGACACCAGCCGGTTTCAAACTCTGAGTGGAGAGCCGAGTTCCAAATGCCGCTCAGGAGGGCCGTTCTGATTTCTTCCCTGGAGGCAGGGAAGGGAGACGTGGGCATCTCTCAGGAGGTAGCCTGGACGGGAGCACAGAGGGAGCTGCTCCTGCCTCTGTCCCTAGACAGAAGAAGGGGAGCTCACTTCGGAGGAGGCAGTTCTCACTTCCCACCTGCGTCCAGGCAACTGGCCGTTTGTAAGCCTCACGCGGCTGTCCCTGCATTGTGAGGAGCAGAGAGCACGAAGGAGCCCTTTGGGGAGGGGGCGTGGCTCAGTGGCAGAGCATCTGCTCGGCATGCCGGAGGGTCCCAGGTTTGGTCTCTGGTATGCCTGAGGCTCTGGAGAACCACTCCCGGTCATACTGACATTGATAGTCCAGTGATCTGATTCAGTACGGGGCAGCTGCATCTGTCTAACTAAAGACTCGTAGTCAAAGTAAGGCAGGACGGGTGAAGTAGAAAGGAAGGACCAAGTTGGGTCAGACATTGAAGTGATGATGGGGGTCCTGGGCAGGCTAATTGGCTGTACGAAATGGCGCTAAGAGGAAAGAGTCCAGGCGAACCTTTGCAGTGTTCTTGGGGAGGGGCTCGAATGGAGAGAGGATGGTTCTTTAGGACTGAATATTGTGTGCACCGAGGGATATGTCTGAAAGGTCATGCGTAGCTGTCACTATTCCTATAACCGTAAAGGACGTTTGCTGAATTCTTCTCCCCAACACCACCACTGAAAGTTTAGAAGTCATTTGGTGCTGTTACGTTTGCTTCTCAAGCCATCAGTAGTTTAAATGAGTTGATACCATCCCTTCCATAGTATAAATTTGTTATAAGGAGGAGAGCCAGGTGGTGCTTAGTACTCCTCCTTCCTTTTGGTCTTGTTTTGGAGGAGTACAGCCCTGATGGATTGGCCAAACTGGTTGGCACGGCAGAGTAGACGCAGACTTTTTGCATGTGCTGTTGAAACGCCTGCAAGACGGTCTTAATTCAGAACCTCCACAGCCATGCTTAAGTTTCACTCTCTGTGACAATTATGCCTCCCGGGGCAGAATCCTTACTGCAGGTTGCACATTAGCCACGGAATACCATTTTGCATTCTCATCTTCTCAGAATGCCCCGACACAGAATATCGCCAAGCGTCCGAACCAGCAACTCCAGTCGGGCGCTCCGAGGAACAGCAACTTGCGCGAACTGCCGATAGCACCGCTGCATGCAATGGAGGCTGCGAACAACCGCCGGACCTCGACACCCGCGGCTCAAGTGAAACCCATCGCCTCTGCTGCTCCTGCCGCGAGGCCTGCCGTGGGTCCCAAGGCCCAGCAGGGAAGGCCAGAGACGAAACCCCAAGTTGCTACCCCAGTGGTCCAACCGAAAGTGGAGGTCAAGTCGGAGCCAGAGGTGAGGGGCTCTCCTTTTGCTAATGACGTGTCAGTCAACAGTTTCTAGGCCAGGGGTATATGTGTGTGCGCCTGTGTGTGCAAAGTGCCGTCATGTTGCAGCTGACTTACACCCAGGAAGGTGCTTGCAAGGCAAGGGAGAACAGGTGGCTTGCCGCTGCCCTTCTCTGCCCTCCTGGGAGAGCCAGTTTGGTGTAGTGGTTAAGTGCGCGGACTCTAATCTGGGAGAACTGGGTTTGATTCTCCACTCCTCCACTTGCCGCTGCTGGATGACCTCGGACAAGCCATAGTTCTCTCAGAGCTGTCCTTGAAAAGGGCAGTTCTCGAAAGAGCACTCTGTACCCCACCTACCTCACAGGGTGTCTGTTGTGGGGAGAGGAAGGGAAAGGAGACTGTAAGCCACTTTGGGACTTCGAGTGAAGGGCGGTGTATAAATCCAATCTTTTCTCCCCTCCCCTCCTGACCAGGTACAGACAGGCAGTTAAATGTATATTTACCAACAGGAGCCATTTATGCATTGCTGATTCCTCTCCGTAGTAGCATGGAGTCATGCTCGTTTTAGGAGAAGTCATAAGCCAGTTATTACTCTCACAGCTCTGATCGGCTGTTGAAGGCTGGTGAGGCTGGCATAGTGTGCCAGGGGACCACATTGAGCTTGAGGCATGACGGGTCACCATATTGCCAACAGAAGTCATCTTTATGTTTAGTTGTTGTTGTTGCTTATTATTACTACCACCACCGTGTGCTTTTAAACATTTACAGATTCCCAAATTGGTGGGGGGGGGGGCAGCCCATAAAATAAGCAATTTAGAAGCTCTGGCTAAAAGTAGCAATATCTGCGCTGTCATAGTAGAGTTTAACAGTAGAACGGATAAATTGCCTACCTTGTTAAAGGTTAAATGCCCTTTTTATATACAGGAGGTTCTTACTGCTTTCCTGAATGACCCAAGCAACCAAATCTGGTGCATATCAGGTGGATGAACATTCCATAAACTTGAGAGGCCCTAACCAAGAAGGCTGTTATTGTCTTCTAGAGATGGTACTTGCAGTGAGGGCTCCTTGTTAATTTTTGTGAACAGGGGCAAAAGATCTGATGTAGTTAGGGAGGGCGTTGCTCATCTGAGCTGTCCTGGTCGTTGTAGAAGATGGGGGTATTTTGTAAGCAATCCGTCAGTAATTTATTACAGTCACGGACCAGCAGAATAAAACACTCAATAGCAGAGTGGTTATAACAATATATACAGGGCATTTCACAGCTAGTGAGAGGAGGCTTGCAGTGATGGGCAGAAGCAAAGTGAAGTCAGCTGGGCCCCAGAAGTAGCACTGCTCTTTCCTCATATTGATTTCCTTTCTCTCAGTCATAGGTGTTGTACTCTAGGCAGATGCCAGCCAGCCAGTCATTCTTTGATTAAACTGACTTGACTTTTGGAATGTAGCACACTGTTTAGGTCCAGAGAAGTGCGGGGTTGCTTGTGACGAGGCATGGCGGCTTTTCAGCTTCCCTCCTGCCCCACCAAGATCTCTCGGTATTTTTCACAAGCTGCTACCAAAGAGGACAATCTGTCTGCAGGCACGCGTAGGCCTTTCTTGATGTGCGTTGTTGTCTTTAACTTCAGAAAGGGCCACTTGGTTTGTGTGCTTCGTGGTCATTACTCCCAACATGCACGTTGAGTGGAATACTAGTCCGTTTCACACCTCTGCTCTAGATTCGTGTGGAGACAAAACCTACAGTTTCTACTTGTGCCCTGGCCTGGACAGCCCAGGCAAGCCCGATCTCATCAGATCTCAGAAGCTAAGCAGGGTCGACTGGCAAGTCCTTGGATCGGAGACCTCCTTGGAATACCAGCAGTTGGGAGGCAGGGGCAGGATTTATTCAGCCACCACTATGAATATCCTCCAGTCACCAGAGGTCGCTATGACTTCCAGGTGCACACTCACTCACTCACACACGTGCGCACACACGCACATATTAAAAAATACCAAAAAAAATACAGTTCATACTTGCACCTTCCAAATATGACTTTGACTAGGTTCTGTGATTGAGAACCCAAGGAAACTTGATACCCTCTTCTGCACTGTGATGGTTGTTGTTGCTGTTCAGTCACACAGTCAAGTCCGACTCTTCGCGACCCCATGGACCACATCACGCCAGGCCCTCCTGTCCTCCATCGTCCTCTGGGGTTTGCTTAATTTCATGTCCATTGCATTGATAACACTGTCTAGCCATCTCATCCTTTGCCGTCCCCTCCTTCTGTTACCTTCAATCTTTCCCAGCATCAGGGTCTTCTCCAGTGAGGGCTCCCTTCTCATTGGGTGGCCAAAGTATTTGCGCTTCAGCTTCAGTATCTGATTAACAACCTTTGATTTCAGTTTCTGATACGTTCATCGCTTTTGTTGTTCTTAAGAAGAGGCGTTCATTGTTTGACCTTGTAAATTCGCTTCCCCACAAAAGAGCTGAGAGGTAACAAAGGTGTAGCCTCAACACAAGAACCTTAACCTTTCTTCATAGGGAAAGTGTCCTCCTCATATCATTGTAGTTGCCCTTTTCTGCGTTTTTTTCAGTGCTATAAATATTCTTTTTTTAGGTGTGTGTGGTGTCAGTGGTCCAATGCAGTTGCACCATCAATTTATACAGGGCAGGGCCTGTATAAATGTTGTTCCTGTTGGTCTTTTGGGGTTTCTGTGTGGCACTGTGGCATGCTTGCACTGTCACAGTGCCACTTGTTCTCATGGCAAACAAGCACCTCCCAAGACAGTTCACTTTCCCTGAGATTCTCTGGGAGAGTCTGACTGCTGGGTGCTGCCTGCTTGCCTGCCTTACGTGCTGCTGGCTGGGGTTCCCCATTGGAAACAATGGAGGTAATGGGGGTTACCTATTTGGGTGGCCATAGAATTGGGCCCACTGGTCCAATTGCTTTGGGACATGGGGGTTTATGTGGGGGAGAGGCTCCTGAAGCTACCCTGAAAATTTGGAGTCTCTCCCTCAAACCCCCTCCCCCCCGAGCCACTAACCCACCATAGAGAACAATGAAGGGGATGGGCACCATAGAGAACAGTGAAGGGGATGGGGGCAACCTATTTGGAGGCCCATAGAATTGGACCCCCTGGTCCAGTGTTCTTGAAACCTGGTGGGTATCTTGGGGAGAGGCTCCAGCAGCTACCCTGCGAGTTTCCCTCAAACCCCCTTCCCTCCAGCCCCCAGAATATACCCTATGTTTTCACCATTTATTTCAATGGCCCATAGGATATAATTTCAGCAGCAATTCGGTGGCAAACCGATTCAGATCAGAGAATCTGAATCGGCCTGCAGCATCCTGAAAGGGGCCTGAATGGGCCATTTTCGGGGGTTTTCATCTGAACCGAATGCACATCCCTAACCAACATGGAAAAGAAAGACATTCCAGTGTACCACTTTTTGTTTTTCAAGTGAAAAGTAATCCAAGAAATGACCCATACTTTCTAAAAAATTACTATCAGTTCCCCCCTATTCCTCTCCATAGGACCTTGCACCAAATTTCTTATACTCAGAGATCCTTTTGTAGAATTGTACAGGAAACATCCAACTTCTTGGGAAGATTTCAAGTTGAGATTAATAGTGCATAAGTACATTGATGGAGTTCTGCGTCAGTGGAAGAAAGAAGCAGCACACGTGTCCTGCAGGGTTTTTTGTTTGCTTGCTTTGTTTACTGTTAACTCAGAAGAAATCAGTGGCTAAGACTGAGCCCTGACTCAGGAAGACTCTGCTACAGCTGTCCTGTGCTTCGCCATTCTGACGTTAGGCAAGTTATTCTTGGGCTTTGCTGCCCATCTGTGTATATGGGGATGCTCGAATGCTGCTGACCTACCTCACTGGTTTGTTGGTAAGGGTTATTGAGATAGTGTATGCAATGTGCTTCAAAAAGGGCTATACAAATTCTAATTACCGTTCTGTCATTTATAATTATGCATTGAGAACATGACGCAGTACAGTTTGAACAGTGTGTATCAATAACCCTTCATTGTAAATGGTAACCGCCGATGTTGACTTCACTGACTCAATGGATGCTTCAATTTAGAAAGAACAAGCAGGTGAGGGATGAAGACTTCGCCAAGGGAATCTTATTTCCCCCCCCCCCCCCCGACACACTGTCTCAGTTTTTCCTCATTCCTTGGCAGCTCCCTTAGCTTCTCCATTTTGTCCCCTTTACCTCCTCAGCATCCTCTGAAGCCTTTCCTTTTTACGTTCATTCTTGTCTCCCTCCTACCCAGTTTTTTCTTTTCCTCTGCCGGATTTCATCTTTATCTCCTATTCCTCTTTCTTTTGCCCCCTTCCCTATTTCCTGCCTTCCTTTTATCTTTTACCCTTGTTAGTCCTGCCCCCCCCCCCCGGGCACTAACCAAGGTATGAAGGTCTTAATGGCCTCCAAGATCTCATGACATAGTCGTGGGGATCTGTTGGCATTCTTTTTAATACAAAAAAAAGGGGAGGGGGGAATCCTCTGTATAACTAAACCTACAAAAATACTCAGACAATAAATATAATGGTTACAAGTTACTTACATAATCAATAATAACGAACGTACAAAACAATCTGGATGCAGATCTTTAAACTGATATAAATAAATTGTGCAAATAGGAAAAGTTCAAGAGTCACAGAACAAAGGATTCAAATGCAAATTGCAAATTCAAAAGTCCACTCAATACACCAATAGTACTTCAGGTGAGTAGAATCCTCTGTTCCTGAAGACTTAATGTTCTGTTCATATAACAGCTCTGCAAATTTAGTTCCAGCTGACGGGGTGAACCAGTGTTGTAGCACCTCGTTTCACCAAAGCTTTATCCAAGATGGAACGGTAACAACAAGAGCCCAATTTACTGCATAATGAAATATTTCACGTCACTGTGTTCTTCCACAGGGTTGTATGCCGTTCTTTTTAAAGCTGCACTGTCGATGGGATGGACGTGTTCAGTGTTAGCTTATACTGAGGAGAGCTGGAGGACAAGATGTTAGATTTGGCTCAGTAGCCCTTCTTCCATGAGGCCACATAGTCTCCATTAAATATATATAAAATGGGAATAATTTAAGGCTATTAACCCAACTCCCAGAACTGATACAGAAGACAAAAAGAAAGGAAAAGAGGGGATTGAATGGAGCCATGAAAATCCAAAATACTGTATTAACGATAGTTATAGGAGAGCTGCTGCTTACAGATTTTACCCTCTCCCAGTGACAGTGTTCTGTGGAGGACTTTGAGGCAACTGGATCACCAGTTAAAGGGGCATATTAAAAGAGGAGTGTTTCGCCTTATGGATGCAGTTCTGATTCTTAGTAGTCCAAGTCATTTTACGTTGTTGCTGTTAGGCAGGATCTAAAATTCCCCAGTACCTCCAAGTGCAAGTAATCCAAGAGGGGAAGCATCAGAATGTCGATTTGTGTGTGTGAGAGAGAGAAAGACGTGATTTAAGCTTGGTCTGTGTTCGTTCACATGACCAAAAACAAAACAAGGATTCTTACCAGGGGGCAGGGGGTGTTCAGGAGTAGGCTCCTTGTGCTTTGTTGTGCTCATTCTAAGAATATAATCACAATTCCTGCCCCCCTCCAATAGTAGCAGTGAAATTAATTGAAGTAAATTAATTGTTTTCCATTTTCTTTCTTTCTTTTCCATTTTTTTTTTTTTTGGCCATCAAGTCACAGCTGACTTATGGTGACCGGGTGGGGTTTTCAAGGCAAGAGACACTGAGAGGTGGTTTGCCATTGCCTGCCTCTGTGTAGCAACCCTGGACTTCTGTGCTGGTGGTCTCCCATCCAAGTACTAACCAGGGCTGGCCCTGCTTAGATTCCAGGATCTGACGAGATCGGTCTAACCTGGGCTGTCCAGACGTGGGTGCATTTATCTTAACTTCCTCATTAATTGGATTCCATTTGCAGTGTAGGGTGCAGCTGCTCTTTGCAGGTAACGCATTGATCTTCCAGTAGGATGTAGAATGTGGGTTACACCAGTTGGCCCATCCCTTTTTTTGTGGATATGTTAAGTCAAGGAGAAGAGTCAGTGGGGGGAAGGGGGAGCAGAGGCAGGGAATGGTGAGGTACATAGGCCTATATTGTAAATTAAAAGTAGGATCTGTGTTGCGGGTTTGGGGTACAGGAGGGTCCCAGGTCTCAGAAGCTTGAATATCATGGCCCTGGGTAATTTACCATCCCTTCTGAGGAAAGATGTAGAGATCTACCATATGGGATAATTGTACTTTGGCAGAGGCTCTCCAGGGCCTCAGGTAGAAGCCTTTCACGTCACCTCCTCTCTGATCCCTTTTACTGGAAACGCCAGGGATCGAGCCTGGGAACTTCTGCATGCCAAGCATATGCTCTGCCACTGAGACGTGGCCCCTCCCAGTCATGAGAATTGACGAGTTAGTGCCTTAAAACTTTGTTAAATCTGAACAGTTTACACGGGCCTGGTCAAAGTTATAAAGTATATTAGAAGTGTAGTCTTTTGGGTCCTTGTTTCGTATCTTTAGGCAAATCCATAAACCTTCTGCTTAATGTATCATCTTTTGCAATGGCTTGCCTAATATATAACCTGTGTTGAATGTCTTTATGGCTTCTCTTAATTTTATTTGATAAACATATTTGGTATGTTACCAAGGTACAGGAAATTCATTATAAAGTATATCGGTGATTTGGGGGTTAAAGCTATTGTGTCAGTTATACAGTTCCTTAAATATCCTTTAAACCCGCATCATATTGAAGCTTGCTAACTCTGGAGTGACACTCGAGGTGTCTGTCCTTTGGGTCTGGATTTCCTGCGGCGTCCTGAAAGGATCCTTCCCCCCCAGCATTTCAGGCCTTTCAGAAAGGTTATTCGATGCCCAGAGAAGCTTAAGGATGGAATATTAAAGCCATTCCTGATATACCATTAATATTCCAACACTGCGTTTGGCAACATTTTAATTCTGAAGAGAGTGCACGAGTTCAAGGTCAGAGAGATTGACTTGTGCTGTTCATTATAACCAATTATTGTGTGACAAATGAGTTTCAGATCAGGCTGAAATTTCTGTAAGAAAAATCAATAGTTCTAATCAGGGCCTTTCAGGTCATTTACCACCCTACCTTTTGTTAGTTTGTCAGAAGAGAGCAAGATAAAAACCTGTCTGACAGTGGGCTGCCTCTGTATTGTTATCCTTTCCATTTGAAACAATATTTTGAGATCTTGAATTATATTAATAGTTTAATTGCTTTCCGCAACTTTTGAATTAGTTCCCGTTTAGAAAGCTTCAGTTTCAGCATCCTGATTTTTCCCCCTTTTTTTCAGAAAGTCCAAACTAGAGTTATATATTCTTCTCGTACAGCGTGGCTAATTAATAGCTAATAAATCTCAGTCGGTAACACCATATCTCTGTACATTCCAAACACTCCTCGGAGAACTTGCCGTTATCCTTTCTTTCTCCCCTCCCTGCCTCGCAAGAAAGTTGCCACTTGTATCCGAACTGGCGAGGGATTATTTCCCCTTTATAACTTGTTTCTCTCCCCCCCCCCTTTGCTATTCTGTAGTTTCCAGATGAAGATGAAGAAACCAGGCTCTACCGCCTGAAGATAGAAGAGCAGAAGCGGCTGAGAGAAGAGATCCTGAAACAGAAGGAGCTCCGGCGGCAGCTTCAGGCCGGGGCCCGAAAGAGAGAACTGCTCGAAAGGCTAGCCCAGCAGCAGCAGCAGCAGCAACAGTTGTCGTTGTCGTCGTCTTCTACCCAGCAGCAGCAGCAGCAGCAAGAGGAGGAGGCGGCTTCACAGCTGCTGCCCACCAACGGAAACCCTTTGCTCCCCCTTCCCGGTGCTCAGCCCCGCCAAAATGTGAAACACAGGCTGATGGTTAAAAAGCAGGACCCGCTCGTTCCGAATCCCCCCTCCACTCAGCCCAAGCCCACACACGTTCTCCAGACTGGGGATAGCGTGCCGTTCCAAGGACAGCCGATCAAAACTGTAAAGCAGCTCAGACAGACTAGGGCAGTGCCCGAGAACGAGCTCCAGCTGTCGCACAAAGGGCTGCAGACAAAGCCTGCTTCGGCACACATGAACCCGTCTCCGATTGCCCGGGTGGCGTCGGTACAAGGCCAACCTCAGGAACTGAAGCCTGGGGTGAAAAGGACTGTCATGCAGCGGGCAAACAGTGGTAGTGGAGATGGGCCCCATGTCGGCACCAAAGTCAGGGTGATTAAGTTGTCAGGAGGGGTAAGTTACCAGGCTTGTCTGTCTTTTGCTTCCGTGTGGCTTGTTCGTTTGTGGTCTGTGTCTTTCCTCCTGGTGTCACTGGCAAAATCGCTCGCATGTGTTGATAAGGAAAAGCGTAATAGAATTCTCACGTCAAATACAGAATCTCCCCAGTTAGTTTTGATGGAGCACAACTGTGGATGGGTGAAGAGGTGTAGCCATTTTATACGGATCTCTTTTCCTCAGTGTGCGCATTTTCCAGCAGTGTAATCCTGCACAGTCCCAGTGGATTAGTTAAATATGCCATAAATTGATGATCAGGGTAAGAACAGCCAATGTAAAGAAGGCAGACCACAGGTTTATTACTTATTAGAAATGTTCTGTGCCTCCTTTTAATTTTGCATCTGAATTAAAGAGGTTTGGTGTCTTAGTACAGTCAGAAAGGGATGTGGAGGATTTAGTGGATGACAGAACCAAACACAAGTAATCCGTGTGGCTGTGTCCGAATGAATAAACCTGCCTTTTTGTTCCTTTAGCGGAAACCTAAGTGTAATGCCAGGGCAGGGCATGATCGTAGTGTTCTGCTTAACTGGACTTAGCTTGACAACGAGGTACAGTTTTGGATGCCGGACTCTTAAAACGTTAACAAATTGGGGACATTTCAAGGCAAAGGAACAAATGTGGGTTATCCTTTTGCTTGTCAAGGGAGCGGGAGATAAACTAAAGCAGTAGCAAACACCGATATGATTTTGAGACACCACGCCCACACGATGGAAGCTGAAGAAGAGAGACGAGTTGCTCAGACAGACAAGTCCAGACCCTGGCCCCAGATTTTGCCAGGCACACAGGAGAGGCCTTAGGAAAGTCAGCTCTCGGGGTCTAATAGAAGCTGCGTTTTTAGGAAATATTGAGCTATAGAACAGAATGGGTCAGCGTTGAGGAACAATCCTGAACCCCCAGTTATGTCTAAGTGGTACTAGAAAGAGGCATGAAGAAGCTGGAGAAGAGCAAGGGGCCCCGAGGGCGAGGCAGTGAATCAGCTGGAGCATAGCTGAGGGCATATCTTCTTCCCGTTGGGGCATCGTGCAGCCAGGCCCTTGCTGAGCCACTGAATGTTCACAGCAAGGAAGGGTCACCGGCCGCCTCTCAGCCAAATAGGGCCAAACAGCTGAGTGGGCTGAGTCACTTATCCATGTTTGTTGGAATATTCTTTCGGAAATCTTTTAGCACTGTTTTTTTTTAAAGGTGTATCTAGTTTAATGGGACTGTTTTTGACAGCCCCTGTATCACACTGTCTCGGCACTAGGTACAAGAACTGCCACTGTAAAATATTAGGAAATCGGTTGAATTGTTTTAAAACCGTGTCTTCTTGGGGACAATTGTGGCTAATTTATGGGATTTAGATTTGAAAAATGAAGAGTGTGTTTCAAAATACAGGGAAATAGTTTTAAGCTGGGTGGCATTCTGATTGCAAAAGCCGTTCAGCAGTAGATTAAGAAGCCTAGATGGGTTATAGAATCTCCTTCCTCCAGAGATGATCACATGAAGGCATTTGTAAGGTGACTTATGTATGGTGAACCTGTATTATGAAGAACCTGTATGCACGGGGATAGGGCAGGCATGCACTTGGCTAGAGGTTTCGGTGAAGAATCTTGTTGCAGTAACTTCCACTGCTGAAGAGAGAAGTCACTTAAGAAGGAAGTAAAAAAACTGCTGGGCCTATTTGGCAATGTGAGCTACCGTGTCAAGAACATGAATGAGAACTCCAGATGTGTACCTTTGTAGGCTTAGAGTTCTTGGATCCAGGCCAAAGTATCCCGCCTCCAAGCACTAGGTAGGAATTCCAGGGGTTTTGACAGGCCTATTTTCCCTAAGCAATAACTACTTCTTTTTTTTTTCATTTTTAACTTGTAAAAACATTTCTCTACAGTGGACTATTTCATGGTATCTTCCCCTAATAAACCCTGCAGAAATTAAAAAACCAGGCACAAAAATACTCCGACGAAGACTTTTTGATTAAACTTTCAATAGTTTGTCAAAAAGCTAAACGCACGTTACTTTGTTCCACACACTGCATAGAGGGAAAGGGAGTCTCTGGCAGCGGGAGAGGCAGTCTGGCCAGTTTTGATAACCGGAGTTTGCAAAAAAGATTTAAGTCTGCCAGAACGAAATCCTGCTGTATATCTAGTTATGAGTCCTGTGTAGAATATATTTTGCATATGTACCTCGGAGGCCGCTGGGTACTCTTCCTTCTGTTGCACCTTTTGATTTTAAGGGCTCCAGCCCAGCTGAGCTCTACTGAGTCAGCTGTGTCATGTTCTCTTTGAGCAGCAAGTTGTTCTCGTGGCTCTGCAGCTTTCTCTACAAGTGATCCAAATGACAAGCCCCTTTTCCTCCCCCCCCTTTTTGTTGTTTTCGCTTCAAGCTTACTGATGGGGATATTAATGACAGTCTCTGCAGTATGATTCAGGTGGGTCGCCGTGTTGGTCTGAAGCAATAGAACAAAGTTTTGAGTCCAGGGGCACCTTTAAGACCAACAAAGTTCAATTCTGGGTGTAAGCTTTCATGTGCCTGCACACTCCTTCAGAAGAAGTTCGCACGCACATGGAAGCTTATACCCCAAATTAAACTTGTTGGTCTTAAAAGTGCCACTGGACTCAAACCTTTTTTCTGTCTCTGCAGTAGTTCTTCATCCAGACCAATATTGCAAAGCGTACCGCAGGATTTTAGATAATGTGATCTCCACGTATACATTTTGGCCAGGAGACCAAGCCCTATGAGGAAGGGCTGAGGGACTTGGGAATGATCAGTCTGGAGAAGAGGAGGCTGGGGGGGGGACGGGACATGATTGCTCTCTTGAAGTGTTTGAAGCGCTGTCCCTTCGAGGAGGGCAGGGAGCTGTTCCTGTTGGCAGCAGAGGAGAGGACTCGCAAGATTGGGTTTAAATTAAGGGCAGGAAGGTACCGGCTGGATCTTTGGAAAAACGTTTTGACAGTCAGAGTTGTGCAACAGTGAAATCGGCTGCCTAGGAAGGTGATGAGCTCCCCCTCCCTGGCAGCCTTTCAGCAGCGGCTGGACAAAGACTTGTCAGGGATGCTCTAGGCCAGTGGTGGCGAACCTATGGCACGGGTGCCAGAGGTGGCAATCAGAGCCCTCTCAGTGGGCACGCGTGCCATCGCCCCAGCCAGGCCCAGACCATCATTAAAGTGTCGAATTCTCTGCCAAATAATTTTAAGTAAACGAAAGCATTTGGGATTGCTTTCCTTACTTTGTTTGGATCATCTTAAGTTAATGTATGAGTTGTTTTTTCGAAAGTAAAACCTCAGCATTCAGGTTAAATTGCCGTGTTGGCACTTTGCGATAAATAAGTGGGTTTTGGGTCGCAGTTTGGGCACTCGGTCTCTAAAAGGTTCGCCATCACTGCTCTAGGCTGATCCTGCATTGAGCAGGGGTTTGGACTAGGTGGCCTGCAGGGCCTCTTCCAACTCTGTGATTCTATATGATTCTGTGTTTCCTCAAGTGTGAACTGACATCATAGTCATGCCCCCATCTTCTCTGGTAGAAGCAATACTGTATAGTCACTGCCTATTACATGGGGCTCCTTCACTGACTGATATATGGCATTTTCTAGGACTTCTGTGAATGAACAAATAATGTGCGGTCGAGTTGCAAGCCACTCATGATGACCTCATCTGTGGGGGGTATTCAGGGCAAGAGAGGAGCTGAGGCGGTTTACCATTGTCTTCCTCTGCATAGCAACCCTGGACTTCCTTGGTGGTCTCCCATCCATGTACTAACTGGTCAACCCTGCTTAGCTTCCCAGCTTTGAGGAGCTTGGACTAAGCTGAGCTCTTCAGGCTCTACAGGGAATAAAAGGCAAACCCATATGTTTACATCTTCAGCAGTAACACTGGGCACGTGGAGTGTTGCTACATGTGTGTGCACTGAGACATTACAGTTCATGTATGCCATCCAACACATGAACGTGTACCAAAATACCTTTGTGAGAGGTCAAATCTGACCTGCATACCGGTTGTTTGCCCTTTTTTGCAGTATGGTGCTCTCCCTGTTATGTTTCACACCGTTGTCTTTCCACAGTGATTGTGGGATATTTTTTCCTACCAGTTATTATTTTTTATTATTATTTGCTGCAAGGAAAGAAAGCTTTCTGCAAATGACACTAACCGCTACAGTCCTACTGATAACTGGGCCATAGATGTGCAAAATTTGGAGCAAAAACACTGCAAGTGGGAACTTCCCTTTCTGTTGTGTTCCTGATTTAACGTGGATTATAAAAAGTTGTGTCAATATTACTTACATTTGCATTTATACAGCGTCTGCTAGAATTCCTTCTTTGTATAAGTCGCAGTGTTTAGTCAGACTAGTAAATAGATTCATGACCTGCTAGGCTTGCTTGAAAAGTGCCTTGAAATATTCTGGGGTGGGTTTTTTTTGGGGGGGGGGTACTGGTGCTTGCCAGTTTCTCTCAGACCCTTCCTGCGGCTTGGGTGACGGGACAGGGCCAAGGAGTTTGTCACCGAATGGCAGCTCCCTTGCATGCCAGAGTCATTACCAATGCTCCCTCTAAGCTGTGGAGTCTTGTGAGCAAAAATTCTACTTTGTGAGCTACTGGCATTAAAGTTGTGAGCGAGCGACTTGGCTGCTGCATAAATTAGTTAACTCTGGAGCCATCCTTCCTGAGCTAAGACAAAAATGTGTGAGCCGGAGGCTAAAAAGCTGTGAGCTAGCTCATACTAACTCAGCTTAGAGGGAACAGTGGTCATTACTGGTCCTTTCCATGCTCCTCAGAAGAGTCATTTCAGGGCAGACAAAGGACAGTCCGTCCGTCCCAGCACCAAGGGAAGGCATCGCAGTGGGCACTTCCTAGCAGGCACTGCAGAGCTGTAGTTCTGCAGATTTCCTTGAGGACCCACCCCATTAAAATCAGTGCCACTTGTTTGCTTATGACTGTTGGGGCCCGCCTTTCCTGAAGAAAGGTGGCTTGCATCACAGTAGAAGAT